TTTTTTTTTTTAATATATCTTTATTGATTTCAGAGAGAGGAAGGGAGAGGGAGAGACAGAGATAGAAACATCAATGATGAGAGAGTCATTGATCGAGCCCGCAACCCGGGCATGTGCCCTGACCGGGAATCGAACCCCGATCGCCTGGATCCTAGGTCGACTCTCAACCGCTGAGCCACGCCCAGTCGGGCAGGGCTTCTCATACTTTAATGTGCCTATGAATTACCTGGGGGTCTTGTTAGGAGGCTGGTTCTACTTCAGAATATCTAGGGTGGGCCTGGGATTCTCCATTTCTAAGAAGGTCCCGGGTGATGATGCCAATGCTTGGTCAGAGACTATATTTTAGTAAAAAGAAGCTAGCCAACCCTTTGAAAGCAATGTTGTAGAAAGTAATTCAAGCAGTAAAATTGCCTGATTCAAATAGATGACTTTCAAGGTCCCATACAATTCACAGATACTATATTTTGTAGAAATTTCGAATTTAAGGAAGAATTACTTGCAATAATGAGATGCATAAGAAGAATGTAAAACTATTTAAGAGACCTTTATCAACTGAAGAAACCCCTGCCCGTCTTACTGCCTGGAAGGATGTTACTATGACCTGACTTGGAGGCATGGGGAGAAGGCAAATCACTTACGCTTTTCATATTTCATTAAAAAGTTTAGAAAGAAGACAAAAGTACAGAGGAAACACCATAGTTTTATCATTTTAACACAATATGGTTCATATGCTGTCAGATCTCTCTTCAGGATTTCTATCTAGGCATAGAGAATTCTTTTAAACATGGTTGTAAGAACTTAGTACCTTTGGTATCTTGGTGTCTTCAGTTAGGGCACAGCTCCAGGAAGCACTATGTGCAAGAAACTCCAGGCACATTATACTGACATGTTCTTTATGAACGCTAACCCCTGGAACTGTGCAAGGTGCTAGCCCTGATAAGACCTATAAGAGTCCCTAGCAGACAGCGGACATTTGGTAAATAATTTTCTATATTATTATAGACTTTTTGAAGGTATTAAATAGCCAAAGGAAATATTAATAAATGTAATTGTCCATATCATCACAGTCTTTATGTAATATCATATAGGCACTGTAAATATGAACAAAGAAAACTGTAAGGATGTGGGTAAGTTGAAATACATATTGAAAACAATAATAATTATGTCTTGTATGTTTAAAATATTTGTGAAATTAAAATAATGATCAAAAAGGCACATAAATCAAGTGGTGAAATTAAAAATGTAGTTAAAAAATAAAAAAAAATAAAATAAAGCTGAAGTTAAAGTATTGTCCAAGAAGGAAATAAATATTAGACTTTGTTAAGTCAAGGATGCATTTCCTTATTTTCTAGGGTAACCAGTAAAAGAATAGAAACATTTGTTTAATTACTAACCTAAAAGGCCAATGAAATAATAATAATAAAAATTTAAACCTTCTCTCAAAGAAACCCCTGGCTCAGAGAGCTTCACCCATGAATCCTGCCAAATATTTAAGGAAAAAAAGAATAGAAATATTCTGCCCAAACATATCCAGAGAATAACAGCCAGGAAATACATCCTGTAATGAGTTGAACTGTGGCCCTCCAAAATAAGTTCACCCAGAACCTCAAAATGTAACCTTATTTGGAATAGGGTCTTTGTAGATATAATTACAGTAATAATTTCAAAATGAGGTCATGCTGGAGTAGGGTGGGTCTTAAATTCAGTGACAAGTGTCCTTAAAAAGACAAAAAGGAGAAGACACCGAAACATAGAGAGAGGAAAATTGGATGCAGAAATTGGAGTTATGTAGCTATGAGCTAACAAATGCTACACAGTGTCTGGAACCACCAGAAGCTGGAAAAAGCAAAGAAAGATTCTTCCCCAGGACCTCGGCAAGAGCAAGGCCCTAGTGACACCTTCATTTTGGACTTCAGGACTTCAGAACTGTTAGAGAAGAAATTTTTGTTGTTTTAAGTCACCAAGCTTGTAGTAATTTGTTACGGTATCACTAGGAAACTAATACACCCCAACTTATTTTGTGAGGTTAGCATACTCTTGATATCAAAACCTCACAAGGGCATTACAAGAAAGAAAAATTAAAGGCCATTTCATTCAGAAACATAAACAGAAAGAAATCTTAAAATATTAGCAAATAAAATCCGGCAAAAAGGACCAGACTAAATTGCTTCTATTCCAGGAATACAAAGTTGGTTTAATCTTTGCAAATCAGTGTAATTCAGTAGATAAATTAAAAAGATAAATTTTTCAAAATCATAAGATTATATCAATAGATGCAGAGTGTTGATAAAATTCAACATCAATTAATCCTTTTGTTAAATTTATTTTTATTGATTTCGGAAAGAGGAAGGAAGAGGGACAGAGAGAGAGAGAGAAACATTAATGATGAGAGAGAGATTCATTGATTGGCTGCCTCCTGCATGCCCCCTACTGGGGATCCAACCTAGAACTGGGGCATGTGCCCTGACAGGGAATCGAACCTTGATCTCCTGGATCACAGGTCAGTGGTCAGCCACTGAGCCATGCCGGCCAAGCTCAATTAATTCTTGACAAATGACTTAAGAAACGAAGATTGGAAGAGAATATTCTTTTTAACTTTTGAATTTTTATTAACTTTAAATTAATATTCAATGTATTCAAGTTACATCAAATGCCTTCTTAATAAATAAAGTTCAGGCTTATAAA